AATAGAAGACAGGTATGGCATAGTATTTTAAACAGTGGAAGTTTAATGGGGCTCCTGGGTGGCTTAGTCAGTTAAGTGTCTGACTTTGGCTCAGGTCTTGATCTCATGGTTTGTGAGTTGGAGTCCTGCACTCACAGCGAGGAGCCTGCTTGGGATTCTCTTTCTCCCTCTCTCTGCCCCTCTTCCGCTCATGCACTCTCTGTTTCTCTCAAAATTAAAAAAAACACACACACACAACAAAAGTGGGAGTTTAATATAAAGAATTACAAAACTATGTGGGATAGTAATTAAAATACCGAAAGAGTTCTGAAGGGTATCCTAGGGCTGAAGGACAGTACCACAAAAGGACTAACTTGGGGGGTGTTCAAATTTATTGAAGAAGGTATGATTGCAACACAATGAATAGCAGAGAAGTTTGAGTCCTGTATGTCTGACTTCCTCTGTGCGTCCAATTACTAACCTCAACGCCTCTGTGTCCCAGTAGGTTGTTACTGTTTCCCTGGAGACTCAGAAGTGGACTTGGCCTATGTTCTGGTGTGCTGTCTTTTCCTTCTTGCTGTTCTTCTGCACCAACATCAGAAGGACTCTGCCCTTGCTATGCACTCCCAGAGCATGCGGTCCCGACCCCAGCCACTGATCCTTCTAACCTGGATACCATGCCCCTGGGAAAATGCTCTTGATACCCTACTCTCTTTGTGCACCCAGTCCTCAGCCTGAACTCTGCTATATCCCAAGGTGTTTGCTGCACCCTTCTGGACATGGATATGATACACTGGAGGCCGTGCACTGCTCTGCTGGTAGGTGGGCTCTTGAGCCCTGACACTCTCTATACATTCATCTGTCAGACTGGGCTCCCTGCACTCCTGGAGAACATTTCTTGCTTGCTTGATGACTAGCATGGACCAGCTTTGGCCTAGGCAACTCAGTGAACTGCAACCACACCTTCTTCAGTGAGGTTTGAACCCCAACCTTGGGGTTTGGGTCACCCATTTGGGTAATCTTTCTTGGGTAATCTTGCACCCAAGGGTATTTAGACACCTCTCACCTTTATAGTCAATCTACTGTTATAGTTAATAATTGTTTATATTAATTAATTGTTTATTAATTGTTAATAATTGTTTGTTCAAATTACCAATAAGTAGTTTCTCTCCTGATTGGATCCTCACTGATACATTATCCCTTCCTTCTAGAATGTGCTCTACTGGCTAACCCCTATTCATTCTTTAAGTTTTAGCTTTTTTTTTTTTAAGTTTATTTTGAAAGAGACAGAGACAGAGAGAGAACATGTTGGGGAGGGGCAGAAAGAGAGGGGGGGACAGAGAATCCAAATCAGGCTCTGTGCTGATGGCACAGAGCCTGATGGGGAGCTGGAAGTCAAGAACCATGAGATCATGACCTGAGCCAAAGTTGGACACTTAACCGACTGAGCCACCCAGGTGCCCCTAAGTCTTAACTTTCATAGTACTTCTTCCTGTGCATCATTCCCTGGCTCACTATCCTCATCTTCACATAACTCTGTTGGCCCTTTGTACTCACCCTAAATGTGGCACTAAATATAACTCACCTCCCTCCCTGAACACAGGAATGCCATGTTTGTTATTTCTTCATTGATTTTCTCTCACAATGTTAGAATAAAGAAGGTTCTCAACACATGTTTCTGTTTTAACTTTATGGCCCCCTTGATGTGGTTCTCCCTGGTCAGGGATCTGCAGTGACACTGGCAGATCAGCCTCAATACACTTAAGCCCTCATATTGTAATCATGGTTTAATTACAATATAGTTTGTTTTCCTCCATAGATACAGTGGAATGCAAGGGAAGACACATCCAAAAGATTGAGTGAAGCAGCTGTGGAAAAGCATTTGATGAATTTCTTGGTAACTCGTTCTTTCTTTCTTTCTTTCTTTCTTTCTTTCTTTCTTTCTTTCTTTCTTTCTTTTTGTTTAAAGTTTATTTATTTATTCTGAGAGAGACACAGAGAGTGCATGAGTGGGGGAGGGGCAGAGAGACCCAGAGAATCCCAAGGAGGCTCTGCCCTGACAATACAAAGCCTGATGTGGGGCTCAATCTCATGAAACATCAGAAATTAAGGGTCAGATGCTCAACCAACTGAGCCACCCAGGGGCCCCTCATAGTGCATCTTCAAGACTGACAAGAGTGGGACATAGCAGTGGGGAAACTTAAATGTGAGATAGGAAACCATGAAAATCCTAGAGGAGAAAACAGGCAACAACTTCTTTGACTTCAGCCACAGAAATTTCTTGCTTGACAGGTCTCCGAAGGCGAGGGAAATAAATGCAAACATGAACTATTGGGACCTTATTATCAAGATAAAAACTTCTGCGCTGCAAAGGAAACAATCAACAAAACTAAAAGGCAACCAACAGAATGGGAGAAGATATTTTCAAATGACATATCAGATAAAGGGTTAGTATCCAGAATGTATAAAGAACTTACCAAACTCAACACCCGAAAAACAAATAATCCAGTGAAGAAATGAGAAGACATGAATAGACACCTTTCCAAAGAAGACATCCAGATGTCTTCCGGGCCAACAGGCCAACAGACACATGAAAAGATGCTCTTGGTAATTCTTTTTATTCTTTTTTCTTTTACATTTATTCATTTTTGAGAGACAGAGCACAAGAAGGGGAGGGGCAGAGAGAGAAGGAGACACAGAATCCGAAGCAGGCTCCAGGCTCTGAGCTGACAGCACAGAGCCCGACGTGGGGTTTGAACTCTCAAACCATGAGATCGTGACCTGAGCTGAAGTCAGACACTCAACCGACTGAGCCACCCAGGTGCCCTGCTCTTGCTAACTCTTAAAAGGAGATAACGGGTGCCTGGGTGGTTCAGTTAGTTGAGGGTCTGACTTTCGATTTCAGCTCAGGTCGTGATCTCACAGTTCATGAGCTGGGCCCTGCATTGGGTTCTGCATTGACAGCCGAGAGCCTGCCTGGGATTCTCTCTCTCCCTCTGTACCTCTCCTGCTCACACGCACATGTGTGCGTGCACACACACACACCACACACACACACACCCCGTCTCTCTCTCAAAACTAAACTAAAAAAAAAAAAAAAAACAACCCAGAAATTAAAAAAAAAAAAAAAACACAAAAGGAAAAGACTTTCATGACTTCTCTTTCACTGGTCTTTCACCAATGAAGATACACTCTTGTTATCCACCTTCTCGGCAGGGACTCTAGAACTCTCCAGAACTCTGTAGGTCATTCCAGAGGCAAATTCTGCTGAAGATGCAGACACTTGCTTTCTGAGTTGCTAATTACAACCAACTTTTTGTCAAATCATTCCACCAACAAACACAAAATGACATTCAACGTCCTCTGAAGAAGTACCTAAATTAATATCTATGCATTTGTCTTGCTATAAAATATGGACACCACATTTTCAAATTTTGCTCATGTGTTTTGTGCAAATGCACAAAACCACAGTGGTTTCTGTAACAAAACAGTGGTTTCTGTTAATTTTTATTTTGGTTAATACTTTTTTTTTTTTTT